AAGTCGGTAATTAAGTTTTTACAGTTGTGTTATTTAAAAAAAAGATGTTTGCAGAGTAGGAATTAAACTAACAATTTTTTATTTACAGGTTTTTATTTATCTTAACGAAAGCCGTTTAGTAACCTATCATTAAAAATGTTTATAAAATATTTTTCTCCGTGAAAAAAAGTTTTGTGTACGTTTACAAATGTACGGAAAATTATATATATATATATATATATATATATATATATATATATATATATATATATATATATATATATATATATATATATATATATATATATATATATATATATATATATATATATATATATATATATATATATATTTATATATATGTATGTATATATATATATATATATATATATATATATATATATATATATATATATATATACACATATAAATCATTATTATTTTTAAAATAATAATGATTTATATATATATATATATATATATATATATATATATATATATATATATATATATATATATATATATATATATATATATATATATATACATATATATATATATATATATATATATATATATATATATATATATATATATATATATAATATATATATATATATATATATATATCAATCATTATTATTTTTAAAACTACATGTATTCAATTTAAATGAGTGTCTCTCAAATCTAAATTAAAACTCATTATTGTTATAAATTAAAGTATTAGTTCATATACATAAAACTTACATACAAACTTTTTTTTAAAACTATGCTTGTTTTTCTGATTACACAAATATTCTTAGATGTTATAGTTGTTTATTTAAGTATTGCATATTGAATAAATAAATACTGATTTTACAGGTTAAACTAACTCAAGCACTTATGTTGTAAGTTTTTTTTATTTGGTTATTTATAATATTTATTTTTACTTGGAAAAATCTTGCAGCATTTATTTTTTAGTTTGGTAATATTAGTGTTATGAACAATTGTTAATTGTAAATATTAAAATTATATTTTTTTTTAAAAAAAAAAGGAAAAAGGAAACCGAAGAAAAAAATGTTTCAAGCATTGAAAACCCTGAAGTAGATTTTGCTGTGAAACCAAGCAATTTAAGAGTTTTATAATATTGTTTTAATTTTATGTTTGCGTGTGGTATTGTGTGTGAAATTTATACTTATATACATTAATATTGTTTTTAATATATTTTTTGTATGCTAAACTTAGTTCATTATTTTAACAGAGATAATTTAGAAAATGTGATATGATAAATTAAAAACAATTTTTACAAGTTGGTAATCCAATTATGAAGTTGTGAAAAGCTATATATATATACATATATTTAAATTATTTTTTTTAGCCGGAACTACCAATACCAAAATTTTCTGCCAAAGTAACATTAAGCTACATCGTATTTAAAATCCTATTTTTGTTTTTTCAAACTTTTAATTTATGTGTTTGTAATTTATTAGAACTGCTTATCTCATCATTTTAAATGTATTATCATAGAAATTAGTATTTTCAACTGTGAAAGCTGAAAATGTCGAAGACTTGAAAAACAATCATCAAGACAATGAAGAACAATCATCAAGTTTAGATAATGCGCTGTTACTTGATGAGGTATTTATTCATACTCAATATTTAAACACATATTAAAATGATGTGAAAACATAGTGTAGTATCTATATTTAGTTTTGATCATAAGAAAGATATTAAACAATAATTAAAATATTTAAAATCGCATTGATTACAATATAATTATATAAAAACCTCAGATTAATAAAAAATTATTGAAACTTATAATATTTAACTAAAAAGTGGTTATAATTTATTTAGTTACAACTTAATTGTAACCAAATAAATTATAACCAAAATTAGTAAATAATTTTTATAACCAAAAAATATTATAATTATAGGATATATTTTAGGGTGGAGCGATTTTCATAGCAAAAAAAAAAAGGTTAAAAATCAATATTCCTGAGACACGAATCGATGTCTATTAATTAAAAGATGAAAGTAAAAAAATATTTTTTGGTTTTGATAGATCTTGAGGTTCCTCTTTGGATTCTAAATCCTTGATGGATCCTAATATTTTCGAATTTTTTGTTCTAAACTATATCAACCTTGGACTCAAAAAAAGCAGAAAAAATTGCTTGTTTTATCAATAATAATTTTATTATAAAAACATTTAAGTTAAAAAAATATTTGCTAAAATATACCTTAAAACCCCCGTTTTGATAAACATTTTAATGACTTTTAATGAAACTATCAATTACGTATAGCATTAATTTAAATTCACTAAAAAAAAATGTAAAAGTTTTTACCAGATATTAAACCAATTTTTAAATCAATAATTTCCAAAAGACGAACAAAATCTTGAAAGTAAAATTAAAAAAGATCATTCACAGTTTTTTTCTAGTTTACAAAGTTTCAAAGTTTACAAGCAGCCCTTTTCTAATCTAAACTTGGCACATGCGCATTAGCTTTAAATTTTATATTTTAAAAGTGCAATACAATCCTTATGTCCCGGAAAAAAATCGACTAACAGTCCCGATCGTAATAAAGTCCCCATTTCAATTCTTAAAAAATGTCATGGTCGGTATTTAGTCCTCATTAATCGCAAATTAATCCTTAAACTTAGCGTATAACAATCCTGAAAATATTTACGCTCATTCTTATTGCTATTATTATTGCTATTATTTTTACTATTAATATTATTATTGTTATTAATACTAATTATATTAATACTATTAAAACTAATATTAATACTATTAATATAAATACTATTAAGTTACTATTACTCTGTTTTTTTAAAGCTTCTTGATTTCTATAAGAAAATAATATATATAGACTATCCCAGTAAGCACAGGACGTTTTTAAAACGTTTTAATTCCATTCAATTTACGGTCGGACGTTAAAAGAACCAATACAATCGTTTTTAAAACATTTTTTTGCAAACGTTTTTTTTAATGTTAATTTAAACGTTTTTTTAGCGTTTTTTAAACGTTTTATTTTTTTATTAACTTACGGTTAGCTTATAAACGTTTTTAAAACGTTTTTTTTAACGTGATAATAAAACTTTTTTTAAACGTAATATTTAAACGGCAATATTTAAAAGAGTATGTTTACGCAAATAATGGCGTGACCTTCGATTAGGCGATTTCAAGTAAAAATATATAAATTAGTATATATTTAAATCAACCAATTGTTTGTATTGTTTTTTTGTAGAATTAAATTTGAAAATATATTGGAGTATTTTTAGTTTAAAGTTGTATGCCTTCGTTGAAACTTGGTTGTGTTTGTATTTCTACTTGAATCAAGTAGATATGATTAATAAAGTTTTAATGGTGTGGTTAGCTAGATTATTTTACTCTAATAAGTAACTTAATTGTTGAGTAAACTTGAATGCTTAAAAAAACTAGATTAAGTTTTTAATTCTACTTAATTATCAACTGCTTTTAACGCAAAAAAGTCTATTTGGATTTGAAAAAAGGGAACAACATTCTCAGACTTTTTCTTCTTTAACTCTAAAAATTAAAAATAATATCAGTGGTTTTTATAAAGGAATTACTATAGTTAAAAAAGGCTGAAAGGAAAAAATATAATGATTTGTTTCAAGAAAGGGAGTGACTTACTTCAAAATGTCATTTTAAAATTTTTATTCTTTAATGATATTCTGGTGTTATTACCAAATGTTTAGCAGTATGAAACCTATAATATTATATACCATACTATATACCTTATTTTACTTATAAAGTTAATAATCTGTAAAGTAATTTGTAAAAATTTTTTAATTGTAAAATTGCTACATGAGAAGACAAGTTGTTAGATGAAATTCAAATATTCTCTATGTTTGTGTTGTGTAGGTCAAAAAATAATAAACAAAGATGATATTGATTGTGATGACCAAGAGATTCATTTTAAGACACATCAATCTTCATCATCTTTAAATAAAAAGGATAAACATTATGGATTTCCATTATCTCAAGCAAGTAAGTCTTTAGTTAAAAATAATAATGTAATGTTTGTTGTAAAATGCTAACATGACTGTCAATATTAAAAAATATCATTAAAATGATGAGGTTCCAATTTCTACTTTAAATAATCACCTTCATGAAATCCATTATTTCAATATTATCAAAACTATAAATCTATGGAACAATCTTTCTTGTCTAATCCGAAATCTGAGAAATATGCTAATATATATAATATAGCATTGCCACTATTAGGTGTTTCACTGTCTATTAGTTTTTCTCTGATTTAGGCTTAGACCAGTAAAGTTGTTAAATTGTTGGATTTTTCGTATTTTAAATTTATTTACGTAGTTTAGTTAAGACAATGTAAAATTTAATTAGTGTAAATTTGTTTAGACTTTCAATATTATGTGTTGCTTCTCTTAAATGAGATAAAAACCCAAGGATGCAAAAAACTTAATATAAAATAGTGTGAAGAAGAAGTAGTAACTGAAATTAACAGCATAATATTTGATAAGTTTGACTAAGCACTTGACAATGTTTCATCTAGTAACTCTGTAGTATCTCTGCAGTTGTAAATTGCTAAATACTGATTTGACAGATTTTTCTTTTTTTTTTAATTTTCTTCACAATATATAATTTTTACTACTTAATTAGGAATTGTCAGATTTCCATTATTTCTTTCTATTAGAAACCAAGAGTTCAAAATATTAGTGGTAAGAACTGTCAAAAACTTGTGATAGCTATGATGAAGAGGTTAGTAAATTAAAAGTGCATTTCTATAAATACTCTGTTTAATTTTATAATGATATTACTCCCATCTTACAATCTTACAATCCATTATACAAATCCCATGCATGGCTCGACTGAATAACCGTGAATTTTATACGCTCAAAGTAGCACATGTGCGAAGCAGTTACAAAAACTGGCACAATGCCAAATGGCATAAGTGCAAATGGGCATAACTGCACAAAAAGAATTCCAAACGTTGGCATAAGTGCAAACTGCTATAAGTGCAAACTGGCATATGTGTAAATTGGCATAAGTGCGCTAAATAGATTTACAAACATTCGCATAAGTGTGAATTGCTATAAGTGGGAACTGGTATAAGTGTGAAGCAGTTGCAAAAACTTGCAAAAGTGCAAACAACATAAATGCGAACTGGCATAAGTGTGCCAAATAAATTTGCAAAATTTAGCATAATTCCAAACTGCAAATTTATTACACGCATTTATGTCAGTTCGCACTTCTGCCAGTTTTTGTAACTGTTTTTTACGTAATTAAATTTTGCACTTATGCCTATTCGTAATGTTTGCTAACCTGTTTGGCGCACTAATGCCAATTTACACTTTTACCAGTTTGCAAGTTTAAAGCTATAGGTTATCCTATAGCTTTAAACTTTAGTCCAGATAATTCTTTTAACCCAGATAATATTCATATATATGACTACACTAATGGTTAGTGTACACTTATGATCTGGACTATATTAATGGTTAGTGTGCTATTTTTTAAATAGTAGATTAGATTTAATTAATAGATAAACTGTATCGTTAAATTAAAATCTAAATGTTTAATTACATTTAGATTTTATGGGAAAAAAGAAAAAAATTTTAAATATAGTAGTTAATCATAATTTCATAAATTATAAGATATAATATTATTAAAATATTTTATTTTTAGATTTGTGACAAATTCGCTCATGGCCAAATCTAATATGGCAGCTGGAAAAGGCAAAGGATCTTTTTAGCCTAACTAAGCTATACAATTTAATAAAAGGTACGTTTTTATATATGTATATATATATATATATATATATATATATATATATATATATATATATATATATATATATATATATATATATATATATATAAATATATACATATATATATATATATATATATATATATATATATATATATATATATATATATATATATATATATATATATATATATATATAATATATACATATATATATATATATATATATATATATATATATATATATATATATATATATATATATATATATATATATATAAATATATAAATATATATATATATATAACATATATATATATATATATATATATATATATATATATATATATATATATATATATATATATATATATATATATATATATATATATATATATATATTATATATATATATATATATATATATATATATATATATATATATATATATATAAATATATAATATATATATATATATAACATATATATATATATATATATATATATATATATCATAATAATAATATATATATATATATATATATATATATATATATTATTTTAAAACATCAAAAATACGATTTCTCTCAACACTTATAATTTTTTTATTGTTATAGAAATTTTCGCTGGATTTTAGATACCAGCTTCTTCAGCTTGTTAAATGTTACAGTAATTAATAAAGTCGTTATAATTTAAATTAAAACGTTGCTATTGACGTCAGCTGTTGAATGGCTTCTTTTTCGCTGAAATTTAAAAAATGGCGTCCAAAACTTAGTTTTTACGTATTGACCCTCATCGAGATTAATCCCGCCATTTTTTGCAGAACACATGTTTTTTTGTATTTCTAGGGCTTCCCTAACTTTTCTTTCAAATTTTTTATTTTCTACTTTTAATGTTTTTGTTTGTTCCCAAATAATTTCTTTTTTGCAAAATGTTTTATGCAGAGCTAATGCGGATTGATGCTGCTTATTTTCATCAATGCTTTTTTGGTGTTGATGCATTCGTGTGTTTACTTTCATTTTTGTTTCGCCTACATACACTTTTGAACAGTTGCATTTGATTATATATGTTCCCGGTTGACTGTTATTAGGTAGTTTTGATTTATTTTTTGATGTTAACAGGGATCTTAAGTTTGGGTTTGATTTGAATACCGCTCTGTAACCAGCTTTTCGGAATATTTTCCTAAGTTTTGGTGAGAGACCGGGTACCCATGGTAAGGAAACTACAGGATAATTATTGATTTCAGATGGAATTGTAATTTTATTTTGTCTTTTGTGTTGAAACTGATGCGCAATATTCATCATTTGAGTTTTATCGTAACCATTTTCAACAAACACGTCGATTAGAAAATTTATTTCATTTTGCAAGTAAGACTTACTACAGATTGAGTAAGCTCGGTGGAGAAATCCTTTAAAAATAGAGTTCAAGATATTTGGATCATGATTTGAGTGTGGCTTAATTTGAATGTTAGTGATAGCATCTTTCCGATATACTGCGTATTCATACTTTCCTGTTTTTTTATTCATAATTTGTATATCCAGATAATTTAGTGTTCCTAACTCGTTTTCAACTTCAATTGTATACTGGATGGAAGGATGTTGTTGATTTAAAATGTATTGGAAATGTTTTGCTTGGTTGAGATCTGGAAACCTTGCGTGACTATCATCGACATATCTTAAGAACGATTTGAGGTTAAGTGCAGGGTTGAAATTTAGTGCAACTTTAATTGCATTGTTTTCATGGAATTGTAGAAATGATTCTGCAAGAACGACCATGAACGAAAGTCCAATTGGACCCGAGTTTTCCATTATATGAATTTCATTGTTCCAATGAAAATAACATTGAAATAAACAAAGTTCTATAAGTTGTTTTATCTCAGGTATACTTAGTCTTGTTAGTTTTTTATATGTTGTATTATTATTTAATTTTTCTATAAGAACAAGGGTGGCTTCTTTTAAAGGAACCGACGGATACAGATTTACGACATCAAAAGATACCTGAACTTCATTATTGTCAATTTTCCAAGATTCAGCTTTTTTAATAAAGTCAAAGGAATTTTTTAATCTTGTCAAGTTTTCATTCAAAACTGGTTGTATTATCTTAACTAAGAACTCAGATATTCCGTAGTTTGCTGTGCCGATTGTGGAGATAATTATTCTCATAGGATAGAATTTTTCAGGTTTGTGGGCTTTGATTACACCATACATACGAGGCGGGATGGGATCACTAGGATATATTTTTTCGTATTCCTCTTTTGAAAAACAGTTTCTTTTATTTAGTTTTGAAAGACATCTACGAATTTTAGCCGCGTAATTTGCAGTAGGGTCTTCACTTACTATTTTTGTTGGGCCTATTTGTTCGCGAATTTTTTTCCAAGGCTTTTGAATGTTCGATTCGTACAAAACCTGTCCCTTTGTCGAATGGATATATGTCAACGTTTTTTTCCTCTTTTATTTCTCTATAAGCTTTCCATTGTTCTTTTGTAAGATTATTATTTAATTTTTTTCCGGTTTTTAGTTCTCTTAAAACATTTTTCCTTAGGTCTTGGGCATTTTCAATTTTATTGTTGTATTCTAATTTTAACGCAGAGGATTCCGTGGCTGTAATAATATCCATATATGGTATCGACTTTAAAGATGGTACAAAGTGTGGACCGAGGTTTAGAAAATTATTATGACTTACTGGAATGTCGGTATCGCATAAGTTTAGGACAGCATTCTTTTTATAATTTGTTGTTTTTTCGGCATTATCGTTTTTATTTTCACGTTCATTTTGCAATATTAGAAATTTTTTCACTAATCGTTCTTTTGACTTTATAAACATATTCTCCCGAGCTTTTTCAGTGATTTGTTCTAATTTAATGTAGTCTTTATCGTCTAGGTGACATTTAAGCGAACGTTGGAGATTTTTTACGTCATTCATAAGGTTAAAGAATCGTTTCCTAGAATCGTTTTTTATGCTGATTAAAAGTTCAAATCTAAAACGATAAATAATACCTATTGCTCTTCTATTTTTTATTGGAGAGTTAATTCGCAATGATTTCGGAATAATTTTATGTTTTACACATTTTTGTAAAAAGATGCATTGATTTTTCGATTTAGCAACAGATTTTTTTAATAACTTTAACTGTTCAGTTTTTTTGTAGATTTCAGCTCCGTATTTAGCTGTTACATATGATTTAAAGGATAACATCTTGTGTGAGAGTATATTTATATATTATTTTAAAACATCAAAAATACGATTTCTCTCAACACTTATAATTTTTTTATTGTTATAGAAATTTTCGCTGGATTTTAGATACCAGCTCCTTCAGCTTGTTAAATGTTACAGTAATTAATAAAATCGTTATAATTTAAATTAAAACGTTGCTATTGACGTCAGCGGTTGAATGGCTTCTTTTTCGCTGAAATTTTAAAAAAATGGCGTCCAAAACTTAGTTTTTACGTATTGACCCTCATCGAGAATAATCCCGCCATTTTTTGCAGAACACATGTTTTTTTGTATTTCTAGGGCTTCCCTAACTTTTCTTTCAAATTTCTTATTTTCTACTTTCAATGTTTTTGTTTGTTCCCAAATAATTTCTTTTTTGCAAAATGTTTTATGCAGAGCTAATGCGGATTGATGCTGCTTATTTTCATCAATGCTTTTTTGGTGTTGATGCATTCGTGTGTTTACTTTCATTTTTGTTTCGCCTACATACACTTTTGAACAGTTGCATTTGGTTATATATGTTCCCGGTTGACGGTTATTAGGTAGTTTTGATTTATTTTTTGATGTTAACAGGGATCTTAAGTTTGGGTTTGATTTGAATACCGCTCTGTAACCAGCTTTTCGGAATCCAGCGAAATCCAGCGAAAATTTCTATAATAATAATAAATTATAAGTGTTGAGAGAAATCGTATTTTTGATGTTTTAAAATAATATATAAATATACTCTCACACAAGATGTTATCCTTTAAATCATATGTAACAGCTAAATACGGAGCTGAAATCTACAAAAAAACTGAACAGTTAAAGTTATTAAAAAAATCTGTTGCTAAATCGAAAAATCAATACATCTTTTTACAAAAATGTGTAAAACATAAAATTATTCCGAAATCATTGCGAATTAACTCTCCAATAAAAAATAGAAGAGCAATAGGTATTATTTATCGTTTTAGATTTGAACTTTTAGTCAGCATAAAGAACGATTCTAGGAAACGATTCTTTAACCTTATGAATGACGTAAAAAATCTCCAACGTTCGCTTAAATGTCACCTAGACGAAAAAGACTACATTAAATTAGAACAAATCACTGAAAAAGCTCGGGAGAATATGTTTATAAAGTCAAAAGAACGATTAGTGAAAAAATTTCTAATATTGCAAAATGAACGTGAAAATAAAAACGATAATGCCGAAAAAACAACAAATTATAAAAAGAATGCTGTCCTAAACTTATGCGATACCGACATTCCAGTAAGTCATAATAATTTTCTAAACCTCGGTCCACACTTTGTACCATCTTTAAAGTCGATACCATATATGGATATTATTACAGCCACGGAATCCTCTGCTTTAAAATTAGAATACAACAATAAAATTGAAAATGCCCAAGACCTAAGGAAAAATGTTTTAAGAGAACTAAAAACCGGAAAAAAATTAAATAATAATCTTACAAAAGAACAATGGAAAGCTTATAGAGAAATAAAAGAGGAAAAAAACGTTGACATATATCCATTCGACAAAGGGACAGGTTTTGTACGAATCGAACATTCAAAAGCCTTGGAAAAAATTCGCGAACAAATAGGCCCAACAAAAATAGTAAGTGAAGACCCTACTGCAAATTACGCGGCTAAAATTCGTAGATGTCTTTCAAAACTAAATAAAAGAAACTGTTTTTCAAAAGAGGAATACGAAAAAATATATCCTAGTGATCCCATCCCGCCTCGTATGTATGGTGTAATCAAAGCCCACAAACCTGAAAAATTCTATCCTATGAGAATAATTATCTCCACAATCGGCACAGCAAACTACGGAATATCTGAGTTCTTAGTTAAGATAATACAACCAGTTTTGAATGAAAACTTGACAAGATTAAAAAATTCCTTTGACTTTATTAAAAAAGCTGAATCTTGGAAAATTGACAATAATGAAGTTCAGGTATCTTTTGATGTCGTAAATCTGTATCCGTCGGTTTCTTTAAAAGAAGCCACCCTTGTTCTTATAGAAAAATTAAATAATAATACAACATATAAAAAACTAACAAGACTAAGTATACCTGAGATAAAACAACTTATAGAACTTTGTTTATTTCAATGTTATTTTCATTGGAACAATGAAATTCATATAATGGAAAACTCGGGTCCAATTGGACTTTCGTTCATGGTCGTTCTTGCAGAATCATTTCTACAATTCCATGAAAACAATGCAATTAAAGTTGCACTAAATTTCAACCCTGCACTTAACCTCAAATCGTTCTTAAGATATGTCGATGATAGTCACGCAAGGTTTCCAGATCTCAACCAAGCAAAACATTTCCAATACATTTTAAATCAACAACATCCTTCCATCCAGTATACAATTGAAGTTGAAAACGAGTTAGGAACACTAAATTATCTGGATATACAAATTATGAATAAAAAAACAGGAAAGTATGAATACGCAGTATATCGGAAAGATGCTATCACTAACATTCAAATTAAGCCACACTCAAATCATGATCCAAATATCTTGAACTCTATTTTTAAAGGATTTCTCCACCGAGCTTACTCAATCTGTAGTAAGTCTTACTTGCAAAATGAAATAAATTTTCTAATCGACGTGTTTGTTGAAAATGGTTACGATAAAACTCAAATGATGAATATTGCGCATCAGTTTCAACACAAAAGACAAAATAAAATTACAATTCCATCTGAAATCAATAATTATCCTGTAGTTTCCTTACCATGGGTACCCGGTCTCTCACCAAAACTTAGGAAAATATTCCGAAAAGCTGGTTACAGAGCGGTATTCAAATCAAACCCAAACTTAAGATCCCTGTTAACATCAAAAAATAAATCAAAACTACCTAATAACAGTCAACCGGGAACATATATAATCAAATGCAACTGTTCAAAAGTGTATGTAGGCGAAACAAAAATGAAAGTAAACACACGAATGCATCAACACCAAAAAAGCATTGATGAAAATAAGCAGCATCAATCCGCATTAGCTCTGCATAAAACATTTTGCAAAAAAGAAATTATTTGGGAACAAACAAAAACATTAAAAGTAGAAAATAAAAAATTTGAAAGAAAAGTTAGGGAAGCCCTAGAAATACAAAAAAACATGTGTTCTGCAAAAAATGGCGGGATTAATCTCGATGAGGGTCAATACGTAAAAACTAAGTTTTGGACGCCATTTTTTAAATTTCAGCGAAAAAGAAGCCATTCAACCGCTGACGTCAATAGCAACGTTTTAATTTAAATTATAACGATTTTATTAATTACTGTAACATTTAACAAGCTGAAGAAGCTGGTATCTAAAATCCAGCGAAAATTTCTATAATAATAAAAAAATTATAAGTGTTGAGAGAAATCGTATTTTTGATGTTTTAAAATAATATATAAATATACTCTCACACAAGATGTTATCCTTTAAATCATATATATATATATATATATATATATATATATATATATATATATATATATATATATATATATATATATATATATATATATATATATATATATATATATATATATATATCAGTGTTTGGAAAGTTCCTTTTTAAAAGGATCTCGTTCCGTTCCCCGTTCATTTGGCATAATGTGAACTCGTTCAAGATCCTCGTTCCTTACCTCAAAAAGGAACTTTTTCCAAATTCCTCAAAAAAAGGAATTCGTTCCAAGTTCGTTCTTTTTTTTTTAATAATTTTTGAATTACTCATTACGAATTACACTAACAACAAAATGGAAGCAAACTTATTATAATTGGTTTATTTTTATTAATATTTTAAAATCTTTTTATAAGTATCTTGTTTTTTTGCCGGCTTGCATGAAATTTTACTTTTATTTTTAACGGCTCGGCACGTATAGTTACGCATATGTAAGCATATATGTTAATTTCAGTTCAAAAGCATAAGAAAAATGTAATTAGAAAACAGTAAAATATAAGAAAACAAATTTAAACTTCAACTTTATTTTGTTTTAACAAAACTAATTTTTCAAATAATAAATCCCCCAGTTTATATCTTTTTTCAGTAATTACATTAGACCCTGTTGAAAATAGTCGCTCAACAGGTGCACTTGATGGAAGAGGTGTGTTAAGTTCTAAAAAGGCTTTTAATACTGATGGGTATAATAGTAAAAGAGATAACTCTCTTGACTGTGATTTTAAATATAATTCTAACTCTTCAATACCAGAACTTGTAACTCTGTTGCTTTCAACAGGTAAACAAAAATAGTCTTCTTTAAATTCACCTGTAGTTGTACGAGAAGATTCCATTTCACAAGGGCCTGAACTAGACCTATGATCCACACTTTCAAATAAAGATTTTAACGAAGCTTCCGCTGAGAAACGTTTGACACCATCAAGCCATAATAATTTAAAGCGAGGTAACAAACACGATGCTAATATTAGCTCCTTTTTTTCCCATATTGCGCTAAATCGAGTTTGAACAGAAGATTTTACTGCGTTGACAAGCGGACTACAAAAATTCATATTTTTCTGTTGCAAAGTAGTTAGCTTTTTATCTAAAGCGTAAAGCGTAGGCAATAAATACCCCATAAACATTGATTCTTCTCCTTGTAAAAAATCTAAAGAATGGGCAAGTGGAGTCATTACCTCACAGTATTCTTGAATTAATTGAATTTCTTGATTTGTGAATCTTTGTATTTCACAGAAATCCATTATATTGCTCATTTTGTTATGTCCATTAGAGTCTGAAAAAATATTTTTAATTTGTAACAAGCTGTCATAGATACAGTTCCATCTTGTTTTATTAGGAGTTTTTAAATAAACATCTAGTGTATTGTGAATTTTTTCTGCAACTCTATTTGACATATTTTGCTTACTCCATAACGATGAACACTTGCCCATTGCTTTCCTATAAAGTTTCTTAAAATTACTAGGTGAATTCTGTACCATTTTCTCAACATCATCTTTTGCTATCAAGTCTAGTGTATGACTAGCACATCTAAAATGTTGTGGTAACTGAACAAGTAAGTCACTCTCTTCTTGTTCATGACTATTTTTGTCTAAAATGTCATATAAACTCATATTTTCACTGTATAAATCATCATTATCTTCTTCATCATTACTATCCTCGTCATAGTCTGAGTTTTCGGAAACAGTATATGCTTTAAAAGCTTTTACAAAATTTGAGCCACTGTCAGTTGTTGTAGCAACTATCTTGTTTTGTATTTTATAGGATGTATGAATCTTATACAAAGCAGAAGCCAAAACAATATATGTATGCCTTCCTTTTATTCGGCTACAGGCTAAAGATACTGAATGACGCTGAAGAGTCTTTTGATCTATCCAATGACAAGTAACCCCAATATAACTTCTTTTACCTTTACTCCAACAGTCAGCTGTGGTTGCAACATACATAATATCTCCAAGTATTGAAGTAATATTTTCAACCATTGATAAATAAAGGCTATTAATACGTAATTTTAAAGTTTTACTGCAAATAACTTTTAGGTTTTTAGGAAGGCCTAACTTCACCAAATTTACAAACGATGGTTTATCAACTATTGATAAAGGTTGTGTTTCACTAATAACAAAATTTACAACAAGTTGGTCTAAAACTTTTTGATTTATTTTAAAACTCTCATATCCTTTATCAGTTCCATATTTCTCAAGATTTGATTGCACCGCATCCTTCTTCGCATTCTCCAATGAACCCCATTTTTCTTTTTTAACTGAAGCATTTTTTTTCCCTTCTTTTATAGCTTTTTCAAAAGCAGCCATTTTATATGGATGAACTCTCTGAAAATGAAACAAATTTATTTTTTTTAATAAAAAAAATTTGAAATTAAATTTTTTTTTTTTTAACTTTCATTAAATAAATATAAAGTTCATCAGAAATTTTAGCAAATTATAATGAAACTGCAGCAAATTATTGATGTAAATTATACTAAACATTATGTTTACATAATTTTCCATGCGCTGTTAATGCACAATAGCATCTATTTTAACTACATAATATTTTATTAGTACATAATAAGTAAATTTCAATACTATTTATTAGTAATACATAATAATTACTTAATATGTAATTAACTATTATGTCATTTTTACTTATTTTGTATACATAATATTTTGAAATCTTATCAATATAATAACCTATAAAATATATTTGAAGACGTTAAAAGATTCACCTAGAAAATATACATTGATACATAAATTAATCTATTAAAATGTAATAACGTAATGTTATAAAAACATCCTCAAATATAATTTTTAGATTATTTTTTGTAAAGATTTTTAAAAGATTTTAAAATAGGAGGAATGCTTATTTACCTTAACATGCCGTTTTAGATTAGATGATGAATTTTTAGCTGTACTTATACATTTTCCCGAAGGGCCACACAAAACGCATTTTGCATTTATATTGTTACCATTTGCTTTGTTGAATACAAAAAATGACTCTAAACCATTCCAGGGCAAAAACTCACCTGAAAACATTATATAGTTTAATTATTTATACAAATAATTAATATTTTAGTTAAATAGACATTATGACTTTAGTTAAGTTCTTAAGTCAAAGCATGTGTAACCGTAATAAACTTACTTAAGAAATACAATTTGCACATCAATAAAATATAAAATAGATACAAAGTAAAAGTGTTTTATTTTTAAACTTACCACCAAGTTCAGTGTCATTATTACTAACATTATCAATTTCAATAACTGAAGTCATATTGCTTACTACAACAGCGTAAAATAGAATTTCTCCTGTATGGTTAGCCTTTTTAAAAAAACTCACGTGGCAAAGTTCGCCTTAAGATGGCCAAACGTACTATTTTGGTTCTATGACTAAGTACAAAGCTTTATGTTTTTTGAATTGAAGATTAACTTTAACGAAAAGCTTTAATTTTTGACGAATAATTAGTAAATATTTTTTGAGGAACGTGAACAAAAACTAATAAATTTTGGTTCACGTTCCTCAAGAAAAAGAATTCGTTCTCGTTCCTCGTTCTGCTTTATCAATAGGAACCAGTTCCAAGCTTCGTTCCTCAAAAAAGGAATTTTTTCCAGGAATCCGTTCCATTTGGAATGCGTTCTTCCAAACACTGATATATATATATATATATATATATATATATATATATATATATATATATATATATATATATATATATATATATATATATATATATATATATATATATATATATATATATATATATATAAATCTATATATAACAATTATTAGGCGGGATTGTAATTCAAATTTACCGAATACTAACCTGTTTCCTTTTTTTCTCCTCTTCAAGCACTGTGTATATATATATATATATATATATATATATATATATATATATATATATATATATATATATATATATATATATATATATATGTATGTATATATATATATGTATATATATATATATATGTATATATATATATATATATAAATATATATATATATATATATTTATATATATATATATATATATATATATATATATATATATATATATATATATATTAATATATATATATATATATATATATATATATATATATATATATATATATATATATATATATATATATATATGTGTATATATATATATATATATATAATATATATGTGTGTGTGTATATATATATATATATATATATATATATATATATATATATATATATATATATATATATATATATATATATATATATATATATATATATGCAATGTGAAGTTATATATGATTTTTTAAAACATATTTGTAATTTAAAAACTTGTTACTATTATTATTATACTGTTATTATTATTATACTATAATACTATTATTACTGTTCAGATTGTCTGTTTTAAATATATAGTTTTTTCTTTTAGTTTGTGCATCGACTTCTCACGAATCATATACAGAGTCGATTGACGATGCAATAATTGCTGATTCGTGAAAACAGGCAACTTTTGCTTGTCTTAAAGTGCCTTAAATCCATCGTTATAATATTACTTTGTTTGTAAATTGTTTTGAAAAATAAATTTAAAAATAACTATTAAATAAATTTTTTATTTTTCTTGTTTTTAAACCAACTGGTTCTTTTAAAAACAATTTAATAATAGTAACTATGGATTTGGGAATATTTTCTAACAAATAACGTCTTTTAAAAGTTTAAAAGAGGCCTAAATTATGGTTTTATTTAGGTTATTGGAGATTGTTTTTTAAACGTTTGTTTTAGAACGTTTTTTAAACGACTTTTTCAGAACGTTTTTTAAACGCTTTTTTTAAAACGTATTTTTGGTATTGCCATTCAGAACGTTTAAAAAACGTTTTTTTTCTTAGTTAAAAAAATGTTTTAAAAACGTTCATGTGCTTACTGGTATATATCTATTCGAAAAGTGACATAAACATTTTAACATCTTTGTTTTAAATACGTGAACCATGGGTTCATAGTAATATATTTTAATTTTTAAATTTTTTTTTAGGTGGTGAACCAGCAAGGCTTTAACTGTATCAGTATTATGAAGCAGTTAATGATAAAACCATTAATAAACAACAACTCATAGAACTAAATGATTATCAAAAGTTTTTGATAAAGTCTGTTAAAGTTGCTTTTATGGCTGGGAAGGGCTTTAAATATGTTATCATTTTTTTCAACACGACACGCTTCCTGCCTAAAATATATTTTCTAATTCAATTATAAGAGAGCGTGTCGGCATTCCAAAAGATAATATATTTTTATTTGCAAATAAAGAAGTTCTGATGGGCACACTTCTGGTTGAAAGGCAATTCATGACGTTGCTTCTAAACTACCCTTGATAAAACCATTTTATGGCAACAAATAATAGGCATTTGGTGAGTACATATATTTTTGAATTAGAAGATTTAAGTGAACGGGATAGAGAACTATTTTACAAACACATGGGTCACTCTAAAGAGACCAACGAAAGTACGTACCAATGTCAATCAGGTATTTCAGCAATTTTAAATGTTGGTGTAAAACTTCTCAAAATAAATTTAGGTAAGTTTATTTTACATTTGTTTGGTTTACTGTAGTTCAGTAATACCTAATTTCAACCTTAAAATTTTAATAATAGTTTGCATAATGATAAAATGTTTTTATATTATATCTAAAGGTGTGTCGCAAAACAATGAACTAAGTGCATTTTCTACAAATAACGATTTGTTTGCTTAACTTGAGGTTTAAGACTATTCTATTTTATTATTAGGTTATTTGATTTAATAAAAATAATTTTAAACCTTATAATATTTTATAAATAAACTAATGAATGAAAAAATAAAAAATTTTAAACTATATAGTTTTTATTTTTATTTTTCTTATTTCAACTTTAAAAACATTAATTTAAATAAAAATCATTTTTAGAAAAACAAGCATATTATGCTAAGTCAAATAATGATGAATAGCTCATTTTGGAAAAGTTTCAAAAATACTTTATTGAAAACAAAATGCCAAGTATGTTCTGTTTTCTCTTAATAACATTTTAAATGTAAATAACTTATGCTTATTTATTTTTATTTTTTTTTTAAAGTAAAGAAGGAATGCTTGATTTTATCAAAGAATATGACCTTAATGTTCTTTATACAACTGCACGGACAAAAATTACAAACAAAAGAATTAAACTTTAACAGAACACACAAAATGTTGCTAATGAACTTAAAATCACCATTACAAATAAATAACACGAGTGGCCGGTGTGTTTCTCTTTAATATTTTTGTTTAAATTTTCTGTTTTAAGTTAATACATTTTACAGTTATAGTTATGGTATAGTAATACTGTTTTAATATAACTATTCAGTTTTATTATAAATATATAGTTTTATTATAGTTATACACTTATATTATACAGTTATGGATAAGTTATACATGTTTTTTTTTAGTTATGCAGTTATCTCATAGTTATTCAATTTTAGTAAAGGTTTGCAAATTTATATGGTTTAGTTAAATATAGTTCCTAGTTTCTCTGTTTTTATATAGTTTATATTTAATTTATATTGAGTTTATGTATATTGTATATTATATGTATGTTTATGTTAGTATATATATATATTGTATGTTATATGTATAAGTACGCAGCTTTAAAATAATCATACAGTTATACTACAGTTATACAGTTGTGATATATTTTGCAACTAAAGTATAGTTATGGTAATACAGTTATATCTCAATTAATGGTATAGTATATAATAGTTATGGTACAGTTATATTATAATTATACAGTTATGTTATAATTATACAGTTATGTTGTAATTATACACTTATATTATTATTTTATACTTATAATATACAGTTATGGTATATTATAGTTATGCAGTTATAGTATAGGTAAAAAAGTAGGTAATTTATTATCAATATATATTGTGAAAAAGAGGAATTGTAGTTTAATAGTTAATATAACATTTTATTGTTTTTTTTAACATACTTTCTACTTTTTTAGCACTACGTTGTAGCGAAAAAAAATCAGCATTATTGCCAAAAATGTTTAATCTGCGCATGCTTATCGACGAAAAAATTCGCTTTGCGCGAATTTTTCTCTTGTGGAAAAAGGCCTTTATGACACACTTTGATAAAAGGTTATATATATATTATATAGAAAGATATTTGTTAATATATTTTTCCTAGATGGGGCGTAGCTTCAAGGAAATGTATTAAAAAGAAAAATTATTTAGAGAAAAGTGTTGTTGGTGTTATTGATTGAGAGTTTTATAGTTTGAGTATTTTAGTGACAAATAAATTCAAAAATATAAAAGAAAAGTCGATTGGTTAATAGC